CCCCCCCCCCCGCCACCCCCTCTATCATGTCGACTGACCCGTCCCTCAGCAGAAGATCCCGAAGCCGGTCTAACAGGAGCACGACAACCCCGGAGTTCCCATTGAAGGCCGCGTTGTGCAGCGCTGTCTTCCCCTCGACCACAGTACTCCTCGTTACTGCTTTGATCGCGTCTTGCATCGGCCCCGACCTCGACGAGCCGCTGATGCTGCTGCTGCTGCTGAGGCTGCGCTTGTTGGTGTTGCTGCCAAGAAGCAGCTCGGCCGCGACGAGGTCGAAGCCGCACACGGCTGCCCAGCTGAGAGCTGTGTGGCCACTGCTCGCTTCGACACCAGGGTCCGCTCCCTGTATTTACGCAGTTTGCAAAGGAGCAAGAGCAGTAGACATTGTTGCAGGCAAGCTCTGTTTTGAACATCTCTACGTTTACGATTCAACGCGAGACCGGAACGTGGCCTATTTTCTGTAGGGAGAGGCCATTAATCGCCGACTGGAACAGCTCCAGAAAACTATGAAATCTCGGGGGGGCAACAATTCAATGCCCGCAAGGGAAGAAACTGCAGTATGAACATAGAATGAACACGAATTACGGGCTATGGCTTCTTTTGAAGCTTAAGTCATGAGAGCAAACATAGTGTTCTGCTGGGAGTTGGAAATCGTGTTTGTTGCTGCTGTCATCAAAACTCTTGTGTTGGTCAGAAAGGATGATATCTTTGTTGCGTGCATCATGCACCGTTGTTCATTCACAGTTAACTTCAAACAACAAGGTTTGCTTCCCACCTCCTTCATGAGACGCCGCACCGTCTCGGCATCGTCTTCGATCGTCGCCAGGGCGAGCGCCGTGGTGCCCCCTCGCCCCTCGGCATCGAGAAAGAACACTGGAATTCCTCTTAGCAAGGAACCGTCGTTCGTTTTGGTGCCATCTTCAGCTGTCCAAGGCGTTGCTAGTGCTGCAACACTCGGGTCTTCCGCAGCTGTCGGTGGAGTCGGACGAACACTCAATGCTTCTACGGTGGATGCTGGTGCCTCAACACTGTCACCACAACTACTCTCTCTCGCTCGTTCGTTCGCCTCTTCTCTTCTCCGAAACCCGAGCCGATCGCACACGGACACAAACTTGTCCCGGGTTAGCTGTGCCCGATCGACGATTCGCTTAACCTCTTTGAGGTCTCGAGTGTTCACCGCGTGAGCCACCTCGCGGGCGTGCCTCGCGTTGGCCTCTATCACAGCCCACAGCTCCTTGTCGCATCGGACTGCCTTGGTTGCCTCTCTGAATTTGGTGTGTTGTCGAGGAAAATCAGCTGAAGTTGCTGGTGTTGGCATACTTTTACCACATTGGGAGAATACGTTTGCCCGGCTTGGTCGTCCTGTTGAAAACACACTCGTACCTGTTGGAGATCCCTGACGTTTTCGAAACAATGATACTCATCCTTTGGTCCTGTTGTTTGCGCATATTCCGCTTGGGTGAGTATCGATTATAACTTTGTTTCAGTTTCTGTGAAGGCGCCACGATAAACCAGACTGTAGCTGTAAGGTATTATCTTATTTTCAATACGGTCGAAGCTGCGGGTTTTGTGCAATAGACTACATTAGAAACATATCTCGAGTACTCCTATGTATACAGTACTTCGTGTTCTCTACCTGCGGTATCGAATCTCGTTCTCCATCGCCCGCTCCAAAATTCGAGCCGCCTTGTCGCGTCGCGCGATGCGACTCCAGTCCAGAGCTGTCCGACCCTGCCTATCCGTTGTGAACATGTCGGCGCCTTCAGCGATTAGGGTGGCCAGCGTGTCGACGTGACCCCAGGTCGCCGCGCGCATGAGCGGGGTGAAAGTGTTGAGGGTCGTGTCCACATCCCCTCCTAGCTCAATGGACCTTACCACGTCGGAGGTCTTGCCGGCGGCGGCTGCGAGCGTCAAGTCCTTGCATGCCTGAAAAGTGAAAGAATGTTGTACATGTTCGAACTACTGAAGACGGCGCGTCGCATGCAACACTAGACTACGGTGGCTGAGTACACAAAATATCGGTTGGGGTCAGGGGGGGCTCAAAACTGGTTCACAAGACAGCTGACGCGCTCAAACTCGTCAGCATGTTACGGTTGGGTCGTCTAGCTGGTCGAAGTGGAGGATAGGGGCCAGAGGGGCAGACGACAGAGTGCAATGATGGGAGGAAAAAAAAAAAGGGCTCCGCGTGATGTGCACGAGGCCGTAATACTCGCGAAAAACGCGAAATGACAGCGTTCCTCATACTGCTGTACTGCTGGACAGTAGTCTAGAATCTAAATGGGCGCGTTCAAAGAAGCACACGAAACCATGTCTGCATTTGATGCACTATTGCACTACAGCTACGTTTGCAAATGTTTGCAAGAAATTGGTACAGCAGTAGATCGACTGTCATGAAGGCATTCTTGATGTGTGTGGCTGTCGCTCCATCTGCAAAACATCCCTACCTGCGGCGAACGTCGGCGCCGCCCAGTCGCTTCTACAGGAATGTTGACTACAAGTACAAGTATTCTATGCATGTCGCGTACGTACGCGGGGCTCTCCATGGTTGTATCCCATGTTGTACATGCACAGGCGGCAATGAAACAGAGACGGGAGATACCCACTGCGATATATATATATGGTACGGAGTAAAGTAGATGTGATAGTTCCACCTCCACATTAATGTGTAGACAACAACAACATGATCACCTGTTGTGCTACCCTCTTTTCAAGTTCCTCCACCTGCCCCGCGATGTCCGGGCCCGAGAATAATCCCGTGCTAGCTGAATGAACGGAGTCATGCTCCTCTGGTTCCATACTGACGCCTTGGTAAATCATCGCAATTGATATTCAAACATCTTCACGTTTGGGTGTCAGTATGTGCAGAGCGCGGCGGAAGGAAAGGTGATGGGACCATGCCCAGGGTGAGTCGGCGGGACACTTGGACAGACGATGCACCACCTTCCGCCACTTGACAAGCTGAGTTGTTGGGGACAACGACAACGCATAGTCGCAATGTGGTGGCGATCGCTAGCTGTAGTCGTATCGCCAGGTTTGACAACCTGTGCGCTGCACTTTAGCGCAATGACTTCACGGTGATTGGGCAGAATGCGGCCCGACTGCTGTGAGGGACCGTGGACAGTTTCGACGCAGATCGACCGCAACAACAGCAGTCTGTATCCACCACAACGGAAGAATTTTTTTTTTACCGCAACGAAAGATATTGTTGCTGTTGTTTTTCTCCCATTATTGGATTCTGTCGTCTGTCCCTCTGGCCCCTATCCTCCACTTCTACCAGCTAGACGACCCAACCGGGGTCACATAGGAGGGGGGGGGTGGACCCCTTCCTGCGGTTCCTGCCTGAGATGTTTTTATCGCGAGAAGGGTACAGCAATCCCTTCCCTCGCGACTTATGAAGTCGATCAAGTTTACTAACAACGAGCTTTGCAACGCGTCGCTTGCAACGGAGACCAGGATTTAATTAGCGAGAAAAAACTCACTCCGTCGGGACTCGAACCCATGACCTGTGGCCCTTAGCAGGCTGCGAGGCTACCCACTAAGACCACCGGGGCATGTAGTCTACTCTGTAGATACAGATGTACAGACAGTAGCGTCCGCCCCAGCGTCACAGGTGAGAGAGACCAAGGGCAAATATTAGCAACGATGGGCAATGAATTAAATGGCTTCGTGTTCAAGGCGACTAGTACTCGACGCCCTTCGTTGTCAATACTTCATTGGCGGCGGCAAGTCGGGGACCCGACAGTCACGGCGCGGTCGAATACGAAAAAGATCCCCCGCCGTCCCCCCTCTCCTACCAGCGAGAATCCGGGCCGTCTACAAAAACCCTTACTTGGTTCGGGGTTGCGTGGCCCCCTCAGTCGGCCAGCCGGGAACCTGCTGCTGCTGTGTACTGCTCTCCCTACACGCTGATCAGAACAGGCAGCACCCAAGTAAGCACCGAGTTAGAACCATGGCAAAGGCAAGCTGCGTGATGACGAGCGACGAGGAGGGGCTTACCGGATCTCTGATGCTTTCACAGGTGAACTGGAGAATGGGGCATCTGCTCGAAAAGGTGGTTTTGAACGAACGGTGCTCGCAAACAGCAACCGGTTCTCAGAGAGCAAGCTCTGCTCTGCACACCCAAGCGGCAGCGGTGTATTTCAATTGCATAACCAATGTGGTGGGGTGCTCGTGCTTTTCTCGTGCCTCCACGACCTTCGATGAAGCAGGTGGCAAGCGCGAAGTCCGCACAGCCTCGAGACCTTTGTATCCACAAGAAAGTCTTGTTACAAGAAGAGAAGATGGCACCGGCAATTAGGATATGTAACACACCCGGGCACCCGGGTTGCGAGGCTTCTTTCTACACCTGACCACGGGTCGTATTGTACTCACCATGTCATTATCCATTGGCCTTCCAGCTCGGGCTTCGCCTCACACTGCCTGTCGTTACTTGCCCCCTCCCCCCTCCCCCCCCCGTTTGATGTATGTACCCACGATCAAAAGGCCCAGGAGGAAGCCCCCACCATCATTTCGGGAGAGATAGCAGGCATGAGGCCGGTGAGTCGCTGCTGCAGCCATGATGAGTGCACGGCTGAGAATCCGCAGAGTTACCTGAGAAAACTAGGGTGGAGGCAAATATCGAATCCCCTTGTACGTTCTTGGGCTGCATTCGTGATTTTGGGGCTTGTCCACACGTGACATGCTCACACGGCCACTTGCGGCTGCTGTTGCTTTTTTCGCCGATACGGCCAAGTACTGCTGTAGATTAGCTCGTTCACGTTGACACGGCGTAAGCGCTGCTGCGGCTTGCCAATGGTGAGCTTGGGCGATATATTCAACAGTGACAAAAGCTTTTTGGGGTTGCCTTTTGGTTAGGTCCTCGGGTACCTCGCATGATATGTCGCGTGTCCATTGACGTCGCGAGTTGCTCGAAAGGTTGTGACCAATCACCCTGTTCAGGGGAGGGACTGCGGTGGTTTCCAACCTACTTCTCTCGTGCAGTTTCCCCGGGAGAACGAGGGTGTGATCAACAGCTGAGATGTTGGTGAAGGAATGAATCCGCTCGTCCCTAGATTGCCCAGCGCGTGCCTGCGTGCGTAGGTTCTTGGAACGGCAACTCAAGCAAAACCGGCTTGTAAACCGGCCGCGCTTACGGCTCAGGGCCGTCGCTCTTGTTCTCCCCCGTGAAAAACATCAACCTGCTGCGCGTTCTTGTTCATCGTTCACAATGACTCTGCCCCGCCCGCTCCAGGGCCGACACGGCATCCGCGTGCACGTTTTTGGGGATTTTTCCGAGGGTTTGGTAAGCGCGGGAGGCATCTTCAACCCGTTCAGCAAGAATCACGGCGCTCCGGACGACGAGGACCGAATGGTGGGGGACTTGGGTGAGTAGTAGGTGCTTGTCTGCATGGACAGGTGAGCTGTGCGAAATGAAGCTCAAGTTTAAAGCGTTGGCTCGTCATTCTTGCCTGGCAAGCGACAAGAGCAGCTGGGGGCCTGAGCTTGGTGCAGCAGAAGAAAGGGGGAAAATGTGCACTAGTGGAGGGGAGGAGGAGTAGGAAGAGGAGTGCCGATGTGGAGGATGCCCATGTGCTGACGTAGCTGGAGAATTTAATGAATTGAACATGATTATTTTTTTGGCCATAGTAGTTACACTTCCGTCGAACAAGGTGTGTTGCTAACGGGTACAGGACGAAGTCAAGCAGTAATTTACCAACCCCCCGGGCGCTCTCGAGGCAGTTACACAGTGCTTACAACTGTCTCTGGAAGTGCAAGCACCAGAAAATAAATTAAGTCATACGCAGCTGTCATCCGTACGCAAGGAAGTAAGCACAAGATGCCGAACACCCTTAGCAGGATGCAGCGCACCCTTCATGCGACTCGCCGAATATCTCACGGCGCTTCGCGCTTGGTGATGTGAGAGCCTGGTCCGGTGAGAACCCGGCGTGCTCCGTCCCGGCTTTGTAGGGATGCGAGGTCAATGGTCTAGCGACTACGGCATGCACGACTATGAGTACCCCCCCCCCCCCCCCCCCCGGGCGCTCTTTCCACGAACCGAGCAATACACCCCCGAGCGCCCTTATCATCTCGCTTCGTCTCGTCTCCTTTCCCTCACCCCTCCGCTGGATACCACACTCACACCACAAACGACGACGATGACATCAACAACAACGTTACTCCGCTCTGTGTGCCTGCCTGCCCGCCATGCCACACAGGGAACATAGACGCGGATGATGCTGGCGTGTGCAAGGTGCACTTGGAAGACCGAATGGTGAGGCTTATCGGGCCCCACTCCATCATCGGGCGGTCTATCATCATCACTGCAGGGGAAGATGACCTTGGCCGGGTGAGAGCGGGGAGAGCTATCACGCCGGAAATGGAGGGAGATACCAAATATCAAATTGGTCGTGTCGCGGTGTTGCCAATAGGCGTTCGCATCCCGAAGACTACTTTGCAGGGACGGATAACGTCGGATTTCCGCCGGCCATCTTGGGTGTAGGCGCCCTGTGTCTCTTGGTTGCAGACCATAAATGTGACACGGGCCACCTGTACGCCTGTTCCCAGGTTTGGGACAACATGCTCCGGTCGGTTCTCCCCAGGCCAACCGGTGCCCCGAAAGCCGTCGCGTGTTGGCTTCAGCTGCCAGTGTGTCGTTTATCTTTTCTACCCCTGTTGCTTTTGCTAACTTGCAGAAAACACCAAATTTTCGCGTGTTCGGCAATGATAACACGGAAAAGCCTCCGATGGACAAATGCGAAGGCCTAACTGCTGTAACGCTCCTCGATGGTGAGGGGGGCCACCGCTGTTTCTCACCAAGGCCCCCGCGCGCGCCCTGACTCACAATCTTACCGCTCGTCCCCGCCCGCTTTCTTTTTTGCTCCTTAAGGGTGGCCACGAGTTGTCTCTCACAACGGGTAACGCGGGAGCCAGGGTGTGCGGCGGCGTGGTGGGCATTGCGGCCTCCAAGTAGACAGACAAGGACGGCAGAAGCGATTGGAATGCCTCCCAAGTTTTTCATAGTTGGTGGGACCTTNGGGGGGGGGGGGGGGGGGGGGGGGGGGGGGGGGGGGGGGGGGGGGGGGGGGGGGGGGGGGGGGGGGGCGGGGAGAACAGCAGGCTAGCGAACCGGAGGCGGAGAGGGCGGCGCCCTAGATCTAGATATGGACGGGTTGTCATTCGACTGCCAAAAAATGAAGAGAAGGTGCCAGGAGTCTTCATGCGCTGTTGTTGTTTGATCCATCACGACCACCGTCGCATGATGGCTGTCGGGTGCCAGCCTTTGTCGTAGGGACTGGAAGTTTTGTGTTTCGTCGAAGGTTATGGCGAGTACCGCAGTTGGGCTGGGCAGTCGCATTGAACCCCTCCGGGCCGTGGTTGTTTTTTTGGGGCGTTTTCGCTGCCTGATAGTCCAGCACTTAACGAAATGCCAGTGTTGCCCCCCGCCCCCCCCTCCACTCGGCCTGGTCGCTTTGAGTTGATGTGTGTGCCACGAGGTACAAAAGTGAGTTGTGACGTATGCGTACGTGTTGGTGACTCTTGCTTGTTCGCTACACTAGCAATATTCCCCGACGCTTGTATCGTTGATTGTGTCCCGTGGGGAGAGGGGGTTGGTGGTCGAGCGCTATTGCGCCGCTCGTGGCTGCATGCACCCACGGGTAGTGCAGGTGTTAGCGACAGTGGACCGAGAATGCGCCATTGCAATGGAGAAGTTTTGGTTTGGACGAGTCCTTTAGCATGTGGACCCGATCGAATCCTCCCCCACACGAGACAGTATGCCTGTGGTTTTTCGTGAGCGGAAGGTGCCCTGGGCGTTCCATGCACGCAGAGACCTTTATAACGCACGAGAACCGAACGAGATTCGCGACGGGTTGTGCGCCTGGCGCCGTTCTTCGAGAACCGTTAACCATTGACAACTCTGCTGTGGCGCTGTGGCACCCGCCACAGCAGTAGTGGGTGGTATTGAAATTGCAAGGGAGTGTCGCGCAGCAAAAAGTGCAGTTGTGACTATGTTTGGCTTTGGCTCCCTCGCAACTGCCTGTTGAGGCCTTGCCTCTCCAAGATATACACAGCGAACGCATCGCCCTCCTCAAGCATCCGCAGCTGAAACCCTCATTGCATGCATGCTTGAACAGCAGTAGCAAAGAGAAGCTTAATTTGCCCGGAAAGCACCATGGCTAAACAGGTACGCCCTAGAGACGTCGCCCGTCATGAGGGCCCGTGAGCACACAGGAAAGAACGCCACTGAAGATAACGGAACTCTCATTGAACTCGAAACACTTAACACTTTCATGTGGACGCGCGAGCGAACCATACGTTCTCAGTCCCGGGTTTTGGTGAGTTTTCTCGGATTCACTTTTTCAAAAAGTACACGTCGTTCACTTCATTTTCGCGCATTCGTGGATGTTGCGGTGTGCGTGACCTCAGTCAGGTACAGGTGTTGACACTGAATGTGTTGTTTGAGGTTGTTGTAGAAGAGAGAAAACCCTTGTTTGTTAGCTTCATGATGCAGTCCTAGTGGGGGCGCCTCACGCACATGCGTCACCTCCATCCCGTACTCACAAAGTTTCTCGGGCGAGGTTTGGTCCTATCGCCGACCAACCAACCCGGTGTTTTTCCAATTCTCGTGTTTGCTAAGCGACGGAGGATGGTCGTGACACCATGCCCAAATGAGAGGATGAGGGTGGTCCGATTAAGTCTGAAAAGACCGCCATCGCCCAAACGGAGTGAACTACTGTCGTGTTTGGTGGGTAATAGCTGGTGGATTTCGGTGGCACCGAGCAAACACGCCAGAATTTTCCGTCCTTGGCACAACGAACAGCTGCACAAGAACCGGATTGCCGTAATGCACATGCGATACAAGTTGACTGACCGCGGCCTCTCAGCTACCTGGTACCATGACAGAGGAGTCAGAGGAAACGTAAATCCGGACCAAACCACGCGCTTGGCCTACCAAAAAAACAGCCAACGCGAGAATGCGTCGGACACAATCGCCGCGTGTCATGTGTTTCTGTCCTTAGTGCACTGTAAGAGACCAACAAACGCTTGGGAACGTGCTACTGTACTCGTTGTAGTGGGCAATACTCTCACATACACACCTTCACACATACCACGACATGCACCCCGTTCTCATCAACACCACCCTGATCCAACCACTCCCTATTCTGCGACTGCACCACAAACGTTTCGTATTTTTCCGTAAAAAGATCGCAGAATCACTAACACGTACCCATTGGTCTTTCGCCAAAGAGCGCTGGCAAGCACGATGCGCAAAGTGCCTACGGCTGCTGTTTTCGGAACGGTTATTGGACCGCCTCTCTGCCGTCTGTGCAACATGCACACGACGAGGTAAAAATAAATCCTTGGCTACGGAGTACGCTCGAAGAAAACAAGGTACCGTACCTACACCGCGGCAGAGAGATGGGAGGGCCACAAGACGGTAAAATCACACACAACACATGAGGGACACCAACAAGAAAAACACTCCACAAGAACAAAGTAAATCGGTGTCAGGCAATCCCAAATAACTTTCTCACTGCTCCCCATTGTACACATGACAAGACTACCCCCAAAGCACCAAGGGTCCCTCGCGTCAGCTGGCTTGCACAAAATAATCTCCACATCCCGCTCCCCGTTATTCGAAAGACTGCACGTGCCGGTTGTACTCTGTTGAGGAAAGAATAACGGGGAAAACACAGACGATAAACTGCCTCTCAACAAAATATCTCAACAGCCAAAGGAAACCCTCGACTCACCAATCAAGCACTCTACGCACCATGCAAATTGGCCAAACCACATCTAATCAATCTCACTACATCTAATCGTTTACCCCCTTGAACGATTAAATAATCGGCGAAAGACGCCTCTTCTTTTCCGAGGGGACGCTTCCCCGTTGTCCCCGTAGTTCCCTCGGCCATCAAAAGGCGGCCGGCCTGGCAATGCGGGGGGGG